CATTTGCTGCCACAATTTATTGTTTCTTCCCATACTGAGTCAGAAGGGTATGCTGCTTTTTTTTTCCATGGCTAAATTAAACAAATCAGTCATTTCACAGAAGTTTCCAAATGAAAGCTTGTTTTGTAAGCAAGACCAGATATGTTCTTTTACAGATCTGGGGTTCAAAAAGAAGAAAAAAAAAAGGAAAAAAAAAAAAAAGAAAAGAACAAGGAAGCTTGAAAAACAGCTTACAGTTTCCTTCAGGCTAATTAGATCTTATCAGTGAAAAGGCAGATATTTCTTTCTTTAGCATGATGCCGTGGTGAAAGTGGACCTGGTGTTTATGAAAGCATATTGCACACTGCTTTTCAGCTAGAACTGCGGAGTTTTAAATTAGTGATACTCATAAAAAGCCTGATGTGAAGGTGTGTGGAGCACTGGCTTTCAAAACACACTTATGTGTATTGTTAAGGAGTAGAGCAATTGCAGACCTTTTGTCATTCATCTCAGATGCTGGGTTAGATTGTTATTGATAGGAACTTGTCTTGCTTTTTTTCTGACTTTCGTAGAGGCAAGAAATAAGACCCCTGAGGGAAAAAACACTCTGCCCTGTCCTCGAAATAGTTGAACTCTGAAGTCAGTAAAGCGTGACTGGATCGCTCAGTATTGGAGCTTTAGCCACAGTGTTATCCTTGGCTTCAGCAACTTACAGCAAACTGGGGACAAACCAGTATCTTTGAACATCAGATGGCTGCAGAGTGATGAATTTAAAGAAAAAAACATCTTGCCTACAGCTTAGCTATGAGTGTCATCCTGAACTGTGTCTCCCTCCAAGAAATCAGCCTTCTAAACACTGGAGTGTGCTCAGGGTTGGCTGAAGGGGTGCTGTGCCCTTCTGCTGGAAAAAGCAAGTCTCTTACAAAAAAAGAGTAGCATCTGTCCCTTAGAGGTTAGAAAAGTGACATTTTAAAGGTGATGTGTGGTCTGAGTGTATCCCTGCCTCACCAGCAGCCCTCAGCTAAGGCATGAGCAATGATTCCTGATCCCACTCAGTCCTGAGGGGATCACGGCCTGTCCTGAAGGGATCACAGCCTGAGGTGGGAAATCTGTACTTTTTCTGTCCCCTCTGAGCCTCAACACAGGGATTCTTTGGACTGGTCTCTCTCATGTGTTCCTGAGCTCTACCCTGGCTTCATACATTCTTATTCCCCTCTCTGTCTGTCTTTTGTAGATCAGGAGTTGATGAAGGCCCTGACAGATCTCAGCACTTACTGTAAATTCATTCTATTTTAATACCTAATATTCTCCTGAGGCATTTGCTTTCAAAGCAATTAGACATCTGTCAGCACCTTTGGTAGGTTGCAAGCTTTCAGATCAGTATCCTAAGGTGGAAATAGCATTCCAGCCAAAAAATCAGAGCTTACTCTTTAGGTTGGAGTTTTTCAGTGAGTAAATCTTTAAGCTGATGAATGCAGCTGCTGCCTTGACAATTTGTGAGTTTATTTCCTTCTGGATATCCCCACTGGCTTGCATGTTGCTGCCAAAGAATGTGAATTGAGGCATTTTTGTCTTCCTTTTGCCTTCTCAGGCCGAGTTTGAACTGGGAGTTACAGGGGCTCTCATTAGGTCCATTTTTTTGTAACTGTTCATTAACCCTCTCTATTTTACAGTGCTGAGCAATCCTTTGATCTTTGCATGGGGGTAGATTTCCACCTTACAATGGCTGTATTGTCAGTTTAGGGCATTATGGTTAAACTCCATGAATTCTGCATGTGCATTTTCCTGACAGGGACAGCACTGGCAGTGCCTGGAGGAAGGGAAAATCCACTTTTCTTTTTGTCACCTCTGTTCAACCCCTTGTCCAAGTCCCAGCTTCCCAGAGGAGGCAGCTTGCTGATGGGTTTTCCCTAGTGAATCCAGTGCTGAAAATTGTTCTGTGGATTTGCTTGCTTGCTCCATAAACATTTGGGAACAGAGAGCCTGTAGCAATACCTTTAGCTGTCCAGAGGAGGAGGGAAGGTATTTATGGGAATTTGCTGTTCAGTTGGAGTTTGATTTTTATGCCTCTTATAATGATGTCCTCTTTTCATAGTGCAGCATGAGTAAGAATTCCCCCTTTGTATGTATTTTGTATCTATTCCTATTTCCTATTGAAATTCCTGGGAAAGAGACTATCCAAGTAGAGTTGAAAATTTCGTCTTAAAATAAGCCAGATGTCCAACCTTCCTTTAGCTGCCAAGCCCTAAAGAGTTCAAGAAAGATGTTAAAATCTGTCTTTCTGGCTGTGAAAAACTAATTGCATAGCATAGGTGATGATCCCAGTCTCCCAGGAGAAGGAATAAAACTGCTCCAGGCAAAAACTCTGCTGTTATTTGTCTGAGGACTGGAGTTGGCAGTGTCTGTGGAAAAAGGTTTCATTGGTTGCCCTCCTTGCTGGTTAACAAATGCAGAGACAGGAACACAGACAAAGGTAGGTGAGTGTTTGTATGTTGGTATTTGAAAACCTGATTCACCTGATGAGAAAAATGCTGTTTTCTTTCTTTTTTTTTTCTTCTTCCCCCCCCCCCATCCCCCTCTGTTAAGAGCATTTGTAAGCACAGGGAGTGCTTACAAGGCAGAGAGAGAGGTTTCAGACTCACTGTGTTCCAATCATGTGAAGGAACCTCATGGCCTGAGATGTTTTATGCCTGTGTGGTAACAGCTTTTCTGTTTGTAAAATGGATGTACTACTCTCTCCCCTTGCAAAGAGTTTGGGGAGGGTTAAGATTAGTAAAGCACTGAGAAGAGCAAAAGTGCCATTGAAATCCTGAGGATTAGAGGTTGTATTTGACCAGTGATGTGGAAGGGCCTAACAGTTGCATTTCTCAGGATAAAAACTGTTCACTTTAAATCCAGTGGCCATGCCTGGCTGGATTCCAGGCTGGTGGAAGTCACTGAGGGCACACGGTGCTGGGGAAGAGCAGAGGGACACCCAAAACTGAGGAACTGCCCAGATCTCACTGCAGAAGCTCAAGTTACAAAGGGGATTTCAATAAGGGACTTTAACAATTGCTTTTTGGAACAGCTCACTGTAGGGAATGGAAGAGAAGGGTTCATTCAGCATAATCCTAAATCCATAACTATTGTTGAGGTATTAATAGTCAGTGACTAAACTTCTATGTAAATCCAACATCTGAAAATCGAAGTGCAATAGTATCTGTCATAAACTAGTTGACCCTAAACTGAAATAAGAAGATTGTAAACAGAAAACCCCCACAATTATTTATTTTTTTTAAAATAAGTTCCAAAATACATGTAGAATTTTAATATAGCACAACAGCTGCCTTCAGAATACAAAAGTTCCAGGTCCTGGAGGGGGCTGCATAGCTGGAAACATGGAGGTAAAGCTACACCCCAGGATGACTCAATGGCAAAGTCCACGAGGGGTCTGAACCAGAGATTGTTCCAAATGGAGAAATTCAGTTCTAGAGAAAGGCACTGGGAGAAAAAAAATAGGAGTAAAGAGCAGTGGAGCATGGGGGAAATTTAAGAGAAGGACAAATACAAACTTGGTGAGTTCACCAAATATAAGAAATGTGTTTAATAAACTGTCATTAATGTGAGTGACTAAAGGAGAAAATCAGAGGAAGAGCAAAGCTTTCCTGCTGTATCAGATGGTCTTTGAGAAGCAGCAAGGGTTTCTTGTGATACTTCCAGAACAAAATGACCACATCCTTGCTGTACTCACCTCATGGATGGGAGAAGAGGCCTACACACATCCATGTGTTTTACCCTTGGATGCCAGTCTTACAACATCCACACTGCACACACATCCTTTGTGCTTGGACTTCAGTCCAGCCTCAGTGCTGCTCATCTTCTGAGCCTCCTCAATGTTTGGCATTCTCCTTTTGAGAATTACCACTCTGAGGTGATGATGTTTTTCTGGGAGAAAGCTCAGTGTCTTGACTTTGGTCAGAAACAGCAGAGGACAGAAAAAAAATTATCTTTTTTGCATCATCCTATTGATACCTCCCGAGTGTTCCCTCACCTCCTCCTCTCCCCCATCATTTGTTTGTGTGTGGCTTTAGCAGAAACAGGAATCTTACCCAAGTCCTGCAACCCATTGTTTCTTTATGTTAAGTACAAGGTTCTTTTATTAACTCCAGCTGGTGCACCTCCCCGTGCTCCCTGTGTTTGCTTTATTAAAACTGAGCAGCGTGCAAGTAGGACATTGTAAATCACAAATGACTGGGCCAGAGGAAGAGGGAGGGAGAGGGAGGGACTCCCATTGTAGGACAACAAAGAGAGCATATAAACAGCCTGGGCCTCCTGGCTAATGGCAGCCAGAGCTCGTGAGTGCAGTTTGCAATTGCTCCCAGGAGGACAGAAAAGTGCCAGACAGTTAGCAGGGACAGATGAGAGGGAATGCTGGAATACCTGATGTGTTCTCTCTCTGTGTGGAGCAGAGCTTCTCAGAGGTCTGGGCATGCAGGAGCTGCCAGCCTCTGCTGTAATCCTGGGATTTATCTTATAGCAGTGCCTGGCCGTGGTCATCATGTCTGTGGAGGAAGCCTTGTTACACCATCCAAGTCTTGGAGAGAAATTTTAAACCAAGACAACCAGTACCACTCTGTCCCTCATGGAGAGGGAGGCGGAAGCTGCTGGTCCATAATTAAGCAGTGTACATTTTCCAGCTTTGCCTCTTCATGGCCAGTGCAGGGGATTGCATTTCTGCCTGCTTGAATCATGGGCATCCACAGGGACAGTCAGAGACAGTCCAGACAGAAAGACAACAACTTCCTTCCCTGTGTCAGCAGAGTCCCTCTGCCCAGAGCTCCCCGTGAAGGTGCAAAATCCTTCTGGACAAACCCAGCAGCCGTATGAAGGTCCCTGGCTGACACCATGACCCTGTTGTTGAGTCCCCAGCACCACAGTGAGCTGCTGGTCTGCTGCACACTCAGCTCTGGCAGTGACTTCTGTGGTGTGCAAGATCTGGAACCCTCTGCCCGGTGCCTGTCTCAGTGTCCTCTCTCCCGCAGTGCTCCTCCACCTGCGGGAAGGGGCTGCAGTCCCGGGTGGTGCAGTGCATGCACAAGGTCACGGGGCGCCACGGCAGCGAGTGCCCGGTGCTGTCCAAGCCAGCAGCCTACAGGCAGTGCCACCAGGAGGTCTGCAACGAGAGGATCAATGTCAACACCATCACCTCGCCCAGGCTCGGTGAGTCGGGGTCTTGGGGGGAAGGTGCCTGGGAAGGGCCAGGCAAAGCCCGGTGTGATAAAAGTGGGGCTTCAGAGGTTGCCCAGAAATTAGGAGAGGGCACCCCCAGTCAGATTCCAGACTGAAGGTCTAGTGTGGGTGTGTCTTACCAAATCCCTGCCTTAGACTTTGCCCAAGCTGGAGCGCTTGGTAGAGAGCACTGGAGAGAGCAACAGGAGCACGCAAATGGTGGGTGATTGGTTGGTTGATCACAGAGGTGAGGCAGCTGACAGCTGTACCTTCCTCCATCACAAACACCTCCACACTCGTCCTGTGCTGCAGTGAGTGTGAAGTGTGATCATTTATTCATCGGTGCCCCAAGGGAACTACATGACCTTGTAAGGTAGAGCACCAGTGTTTGGGTTTTTTTCCTTTCATCTGCTGCCACATGAACGTGGTTTGATGAATTGATTTGCCCAGGGAGGCAAATCAAACCTCTTCCTGTGATTTTCTGTTACTGTCCTTCTCCTCACCCTTCCTGCATCCCCTGTGTCCCTGGCAGAGGTGGGAATATGGTGATAACCTATCTGTTTCCTGAAACACCTTAACACTGGATTTAAAAAATGTCACTTGTTAAGGCTTCTGTTAATACAAATTTATGGGAACCCCATGATTTTCCACATCACATTTGCTCAGTTTATAAGGGGATACAAAGATAAATACACTAAAAATAATATCTTTCCAAACTTCATCCCTGTGTGTTCAGCCACAGCTCCGAAAACCAAGTTGGTTTCTTTACATTTCACACATCATCACCAGTAAGATGAAGCTAAATTAATGAATCAGCTGCACTGACACAGCCACATCAGTGCCTCCCATCACATTTTGGTGCAGGAGTGTGGGTTGTAAACAATGCTGTAAGGACTTACCAGAAAGAACAACCTCCTCCCTACAGCTGAGCTGGTCTCGTAGGCTGAGAAGCCTCTGACACACCTGAAAACACAGAGCTGCTAAATAATAGAGAACCATTTTCTAATAGCGCTGTCCAGTGTTAAATCAAACTAGGAGTGAACTTGAAGCTTCTGAACTGAAATTTGTTTCCCAAAAGTTTACCAGATGTTTTAAAAAAAAATGGGAACTGTCGTTCTTGCAAATTCAGTCACGCTGAGGGGCTTCTAACCCCTTTTGGTAAAGAACATATGAGAGTACTTCCCAGATATTTTAGCACTAAGAACATAGTGGAAGGAAAACATTTCATTTGAGAAGTAAGCCCTTGATACACTGATGAGACAAGAAATCCATCCTAATTCACGTTTTAGGACAAAGCAATAAAACGCTCACGTGTTTAGAAGACTGAGGAGGCTCAAGTCCCTGCTGAAAGTAATCTGCAAGTAATTTAGGAGGCTTTTGTTTCTAAACCAGGCTTGGAATCACCAGGGCCAGAAACAATGATATTTGATATTAACAGAAAGATATACCATTGAGTGTTTTGCTCTTCTTGCTTATAAGCAATTCTAATTGGATTATCTTTAAACAGGATTTTCTGTTTTCTGCAATGGAAACATCACCAAAAAAAAAAATTACACAGAAAAAAATTCCAGTAGTCTACAAAACCCATGCTGCCTTGTCCCCACTCCAGAATGGTTCTCATCCTGGGTAACATTTGCAGAAGGATTTAAATGTGGTCACCTCACCTGTCTTTTACATCTGTGTCTCAGTGAAGATACATTCCAAGGGGTTTACCCTGTCTCTCAGGCACCTGAGCCATGTCACTGCCTCCACATGCTTTCTGTCTTATTTTACAACTTTTGAGGGACTTTGGACCTCTAAAATATTAGTCCTAGCCTTGTTTGTGGCTCAGTTTCTATTATATAAAGTCTCAGATTCATCAGGTCTGTCTCAGATGTTCTCACAAGATGTGTAATTTATTCAGCTGCATCACACGGCTTCCCATTGGCTGTGAGGAGTTCATGGGCTTATATCTGGGCTGATGCTTTAGTCCTTTTGTTCATCCAGGCCTGTTTGTCACTGAGACAAAGTAGGTGAAACACAAGGAGGTTTGCATGTCCAAGGAAGGAAGGAAGCACCTCCAAGATGCTTCAGTAGCAGGAACATCCTCTGCTCCGCGGTGCTGACAGCGAGGTTGGCCCCCTCTTCCCTCAGGTGCAGGGTTTTGATCACACCTGCCGTGCTGTTCCCTGGCTAATCTGGTAGTTTGTGCTCTGTTTTCTCCCCCAAAGCTGCTCTCACCTACAAGTGCACGGGGGACCAGTGGACAGTGTACTGCAGGGTGATCCGGGAGAAGAACCTGTGCCAGGACATGCGGTGGTACCAGCGCTGCTGCCAGACCTGCAGAGACTTTTATGCAAACAAGATGCAGCAGAAGAGTTAATGAACCTGTGCCACTTCCTAGAGTATTCCAGCTGTTGGCGTGTAAATCACAGACTAGTAGGTCTGAGTACTGGAACTTCACGAGTTGCTACAACGTGGTGGATCCCAAAGCAAACCCAATGAGACTTGAAACCAACTCTACAGACTGGATACCAAAGTCATCCGCTCATCCACCTGAAAAACAACAACCAGAAAGGGTCGTCTCAAGGAGCCAATCGTTTTAGAGTGTTTTGACATCCTTACATTTTTCATTAATGCTTTTTACTTTAATATATTAAATCACCAGCCACTGGATGGCTTGCTACCATAAAAAGGAAAGGACAAGAGTTGCAAAGTGATCACATATGGTACCTCCATGGAGGAAGGCCTCTGGCAAAGTAATTCAGCAAAGGTAGAGACATTACTAAATCTTTTAATCTTGGCTTTCATCTGATGTTTTCAACTCCCAGCAGTTATCCCTCTGTAGGGTGGGCTCGGAGGGACATGCATAAATGAAAGGCTTAATTTAAAGAGAGGATTTGCTGTAAAAGCTTTTTAAAACTGATAGCAGAGGATGGACATCTCTGAAAATCCTACAGAAAACTCAGTATAATTATATCCAACGTTCCAAGTAATATTTTTAGAGCCACTAATAGGGACTGCTTTTCTTTCTAATTTTAAAAAACAATCCTCTCTCTCTTTCCCCCAGAATAGTAGAGTTTCTTTTATGAAACCTAATTTTTCTCTGGGCTTAATGAGATGGAAGCTTTTTAACAGCCGTAGATAGTTGGTTTTTTTTAAACAAGAACCATTTCAGCCAGAAATCATTCCATCCAGTAGAGCTCAGTGAGGGATTGCTTGGCCTAATCTCTCTCCAGTTTTTAGAAGTCAATCAGATAATGAGACTTGTTGGTTTTTATGAGGACTGTGAAACTGGATAAAATTGGAACAGAAACTGGATTTGGAACAACCTTTGTGAGAAGGATGTAGTGGGGAGCACAGCAGGTGTCTCCTGTCTCTGGGCTCTTGAGCACAGCTGAGGTTATGTAGCCTTTTGAGTCAAAAGTAGTCAGGGATACAAGACATTCAAAGTGTAACTTGGAGCTCCTGGAAGCCCTAAGGTTCAGACTTCCATTGCTTTCAGTAAGGGCTGGGAATTCCCTCAGTGATTGGAATGCTCCCTGTCCCGCTGTTGTGGTGCTGTCAGGTTTGGTGCTATCAGATTGGTGCTATCAGAGCACTCAGCAAGTGCCTCCTCCACGTCTCTGCACTTTAAACCAAACTCCTCTCTGTGATGTGAGGCTTGAAACAGGAGCTCTGCCCAGGGCAGGGTCTGTCCCCTCCCTTGTCACACAGATCAGTGTCTCCCTATCACGTCTTGCTCCAATAAGTATCATTTCCCGTGCCAGGGTCCGAGGCCAGTGGGGCCGTGGTCAAGTTTCAGCCCCTCCTCCTGACAGGAACAGAGCCCTTTGGATAATTGCAGCTTTGTACTCGCTCTAGAACTGCCTGGGACTGTTTTACTCCTGGGATCTGAGCACAGAACCAAGCCCAGCTACTCCCCCAGCCCCTGGATTGCAGCTCCCACCTGGCCCCAGGTTGTCTTTGTTGCTGTTGTCTCTTTTTTTCAGTGCAAAGAGGGGTGAAGACTCTTAGTACCAAACATATCTTTAAAGCAACTTTTTCCTCCTTATGACAGTCCTTTCCATATCCAGGACCTCACTGCAATAACGCATTATTAGCATTTTATTAAGGGCTAAATTTTTCAAGCACAGGAGGGGGATAATGTTCATCACAGATTAACACAGTGTGGGCTTCACATTTGCATTTCTGCTTATTAGTGCAAATTGAGTGTGTGTGCACAGCAGGGCTGGCCTGATGCACAAAGGCACCTTTGCACACCCTTTTTTTCTCGAGTGCCTGTCTCAAACAAATCTGCTTTCCAATGCCTCAGATGATTTTCTCTATCAGGGAAATGATTCCAGCTTGTTTTTTATTATACTGGGTGTTTTTTTGGCGACTTACAATCAGGATCAGACCTCCTTTTTCTGTTATTCCCACCCTGTCACCCAAACACAGAGGTTGTGTAACTACTTAACGAGTAATCAGTGGAAAATGTTGCTGGCAGGGGTGACAGGGAAGATTTAGGCAATACCAGGGTGTTGTTCAGTGGGGCAAATTAGCAGGTAGAAGAACTGCTAAGGAGAAAGTTCCAAGAGATCAGAGCCCAGAGGACCTGGTTTATATTGATAATTCACAGCAGTATTTTCCCCTTTGCCTGCACTGGCTCTGGGACTGTCCCTGCTGCCTCCCTGCCACCACAGCCACCTCTGGGTCCCTTTACATCCCTCACTCAGTTTGGAGTTTGCTGTTTTTCTCTTAATGGGCAACATTTGCCCATGAAGTGGCCCAGCCCAATAAAATGCCACCCCTGTGCTGAACATTTGTGGCATTAGGAACACTCAGGTTGGGCTGGTGAAGGATTTGCCGTTGGGTTTCTCTGCTGTCTTGGCAGAATAACGTGTGCATTTATCATTACTGGTGATCAAAGGTGCTTTTCAACAACAGGGAACATTTTCCTTCTGGTGCTGCTCTGTCACCCTCTCTAGGCAAAGGTGGGCTCCTGGAGAGGTGCATAGGAGAAGGAAGGATTTTAGTTCTTCTGTTTTTCAGTAATAATTCACTTCTGGCCATTGTCCAGAGCAGGATACAAAGCTGGTTAGACCTGTGGCCTGTCCCCATCTCCTGGGTTCTGGACCCAAAGGACATTTGGATCCGAGTTCTGGGTCTTACCTAAGGAAACATGAATTTACAAGGAATTTTTTCGACTGTCTGAGCACTGAAAAAACCACCTCCCTTGCTCTCACAGATTAGCATGCATCAACCTTTTATGTTTTATAATCAAACCCCAACATTAATTAAAAACTGGTGGCACAACACAGCTCCATTTTATTCCATTCTCTTACTTCATATGGTGATAACCTTCCCATGTTATAATAGCCAGAAAAATAACAATAACAAATTTAACTCTGTTCAGTACTCCTGCACTTCTGTTTTGTATCATTTTATAGGAGCTTTGCTATGAATTCACAGCTCTGCTCTGCCCTCAGTTACCACATTCTGGTGAAAAGAAAAGCTGTTTGTTTCAGTGTATCTATGACAATACTTTTTTTTAGTTGTTGGTAAGAGTCTGATGCTCTTTTGATTACAGTGGTGGTATTTCCATATTGTAAACAATACTCTGTACTGTTACTAAAGTACTGTACATTTCTAGTTGCACAATTGTGTTATTGAGTGTAGATTCTCACTATCTCATGTATGGTGCTATTTTTTGTTGGTGGAAAAGAATCTTAGCAGTCGATTATTGCTTGATATTTTATTATAATACAGGGATATATTCTCCATGGCAATAATATCATTTAAGTTTTCTCATTACAGAGTGAAATGTATATATTTTTCCATTAGCTACTTTGCATATGTACTGTATCCATGGTAATTTTCTTCTTGGTGCTGGTTATAAATAGAAAAGATAAAAACAGTCAAACTGAATGGAACCAGTTGTAAATGAAAGCCAAAACAAAAAAATAGGAAAGAGGATCATTCAATTTTGAACAAATTAAGTATGTTGTATAATAAATTTATTTTTTCCACAACAACTTTAATAAGGTTTCTGAACTTGAAACAAAAATACAAAGCAAACCAAACAGCATGAAAATTAAGAGAGAGGAGTGAAGCTGTAAGTAAATACATTGTGCATCTGTCTAATACTGGACTGAGACTGGGATTTGGTTAAATCTAAGCCAACTTCAGTAGCTGTGGTCAGTGTAAAAGGTCATGTGGCAGTAAAATTCTGACATCTCAGAGTTCCCAGTGTGCTGACAAATCAGGAAATGATGGGTCTTGTCCTGGTTAGGTTGCAAAATAAAGCACAGGGATGTTAATACCTGAATGATGCCTTGCAAGGTCTGTGCTCAGTAACAGAACAGTAGAAAATTCCTGTTTGGAAAAAGCAGGCCAGGCTCTGTTTGGGATATCCCTGTGCGTGCCTGAGCTGGAGCTTGCGCTTGGGGAGAGGGACATTTTGGAGGTGCTTTTGGGAAAGGTGGTTCTCCATGTGTGCAGCACCTCGCTGTGTGTTTGTTGGGAGCAGCTCCACAGGCACCACCTAATAATGAACAGTGCTGAGCATGTGGAAATTTATATTGGAGCAAAAGTGTCCCATCCGTTGGGAAGGTCTCTCCGTAACCTGGCTGCACACTGCCCTGGTGTGAAATAAATGGAATTACTCCAGTGCCAAGTGTTTTGGGTGTCTTTGTTGTAGGCACTAGGCAGAATCTTTGTGCTGTTTAACTTCCCCCCAGCATGGTAATGATGTTTTTTGCAGACAGCTGCACAAAGCTACACCTTTAAGATCCTCTCCCATTCCAAAGATGCCATTGTCTGTGTCCCAGTCCAGCTCAATCCTTGCTAAAAGGACACTTCTTGGAGATGGGAGCAGCATCTTCCTAAAGGACCCTTAAAGACTTAGGAATATGGTTGAGTGGTGACTTGGCAGTGCTGGATTAAGGGTTGGACTCGATGATCTTAAAGGTCTTTTCCAACCTAAACCATTCCGTGCTTTTATAACAAACCAAAGCACAGTTGGTGTGAGAGTCCTCCCAAAATGACTTCCAGAAATGGAGTCTTTGCTTACTTTAATAACAGAGCTCATTTACTGATCTCACACTGGCTTCTTTGTCATGGCACTACATGGATCAGCTTCCTGGTTTTCTGAGGCAGCCTTAGGAGACACCAGGCCCTGCTGCCATCACACACAACTGTTCACAGCAGCAAAAATCCTGGAACTCCATCCAAGTGTTGCTGTACATTAACAGATCATCGTGTTTGTGCATTGCCTGGAGTCAACATCTGATTGCAATTGTTGACCTGTTTGAACAATAAAACGTAGCTCCAAGCCCTTGGAAGCCAAAAGGCTTTACATTAAGCTGGGATATGGCAATGGGAGGGAGGGGTGTAAGGAATGCTGTCATACATTTGGCTTGAAATGTTCCTGGTATGTGCCAATATCTCATCTATAAATCCAGTAGGCTTATGTACTTAGTTTGCCTATTTTGCATGTAGCCATTTGCTGTTTTTCTCTTATTCCTAATCCCCACCTCCTACCCAAGCCATTGCCCTTCCCTGTGAGCTCAGTTGGTTTATTTATTTAAGACACCTCAGCCAAGATCAGTAAGGGCAGGTGGGGTCAGATGGCTCCAGTGCTCTGGCATAGAAGTACCAGGAGGAAAGTATAATCTCTCCTCTGCTCCTTGGAGGTCATTTCTGCCTCCACCAGCTCCACCTGCTCCCTCCACTCTCCTGCAAGTCCTGGTGTCCATGGCAGCCTCGGCTGCAGGACCCTGCTTTCCCTGGGAGGAACTTTCCTTCCAAAAGGCTCAATATGGAACACTTTATCCTGCCATCAGCCCCATGCTCACCGGGAGTGCTGCTGCTGGAGGACTCTGCTCTGCTGGTAGAGTGAAAACTGCGTGTTCCTTTGTGCTTCCCCCAACACCACGTGGTCCATTTCCATTGGGAAAGGAATGTTTTCTTCTTGCTGAGGAGTGTCAGTACAAACACCAATGTGCTGTGGAGTTCCAGGCAGAGGAGAACTGTGCCAGATGTGCTCACATTCAATGCACTCACACTTCTGATAGTGGAAGAAAAGAAGCCCTGGTGACCTCCTTGCTGGCAAGTTGTTTGTCTCACTTGTCCTGCTGCTGTAGGAATACAGTGCTCCCAGAAACAGGCAGGCTGTGGGAGCTGCTCCTGAACAGCATTTCTTCTTCAAGAACTTGGACCTGTGCTGAACACGTTTGATTGCACTTCTCTAAACCACTTGCACTTCAGCTTCCTCCTGGTTATCTTGACTTGGAGGCAGGTGAGTAAGAAGACAGGAGTTCCTCAAGTGCTGCCAATGCACAAAGATCAGTTTTCTTTTCTGTGTGCACATTTTTTTTTGTCATGTCTCTGGCTTGTCTTTGCACTCTTTAGAAATGGGCCAGGCTGCCTGGAGAGAGACTTCCCGACAACAGAACTGCCCTGGACAGGCAGGACTGAAGCATCTTCATTTCAGATGGGAGGAATTGTTTGTTTATAAAAGGAGAGTTTGAACAAGAGACTGTGTAGGCAGGGAGGGACCACCAATTCCCCTTAGCAGTAACTACCCTGAAGGTGATCAGAGTCTCCAGAGCTGACCCCCACGTGTCTTGCATCACCTCGTCTCCTTTCATGCCACTTTGATGTGACAGACCCCATGAAGGATGCCTGGAGGTGCATTGCACCACATTTATTACTTTGTCAGATCTGCTCTGTCTGCCAAATGGTGGCCAGACACCCAGACAGACTGTCCCAGTTAGCAGAGTCCTGCAGCTGATGTCTGGACCTTGCCTGTGAGTTCTCTGTGTGTTACCACAGCCCAGACACTGTGTCCACATGGCCTGGGCTGGGTGTCCACCTTGGCCCTGGGCTGCAGAGCAGCAGCTGGGCTTTCTTGGGAGTTGTGGCTTCCCTCAGCTCCTCTGGTTTGGCTGTGAGTGGCTCCTGTTTGGGTGTTTCATCCTTTCATCCCTCTGTGGCCTGGGTAGAGCTGGAGCCTCCAGTGTGACTTGTCTGGGTCATGTCAAGGCCTTTGCACCCACCAGAAACTGCACCACCTCAGGGGTCTGTACAAAATACCTTCCCTCATCTGCTCAAGTGCATTTTACATCCTCCCTCAGCCCTCTGAAGAAAACTATTTTCCTCATCATACTCCTGTAGCAGTCTGGTGACTCCCCTCACTGTTGCTTTTTGAATGGTTTTTGTTCTGAGGTCTTTTATAATTATTCAGTATTATTTGTGCAGTGGCACTAAAGAGTCTCCACCCAGACATGTGGATGCTGGAAGGCCATACTCAAAGAAATAGTCCTTCCCTGAAGAGACTGCAGGTGGTCTGGGGTAGAAGGCAAATTCCCAAAGGAGATAAGTGGGATTCTTGGCAGCTGGAGTCTGAAAAGGCAGGAGATGAGCATGAATCGAGTGAGTGAGCCTGTGCTGTGGTTACTGCTCTGGAAGGGATGGGAAAGGGATATTCCCCACTGGTTTTATATCCTCAGACATATTTTTTGTTACTGGAAGTAGCCAAGGGTAAAATTCTCATCACTTCAGAGATGCCCCTTACAGAAACTGGCCAGGACACTGCTCTGCACATGGGCTGGCAGGGAGGGAAATGTTCATTTTTCCTCAGGAGAGCTCTGGTAACACACCAGTCTGCACAGCCTGGCTCCACCACCCCAAAAAACCAGCAGCTGCTGAAAGATCCCTGACAGTTTTCTGTAAGGTCACTGCACTCCTGGAGACAGGCACTGAAACTACTCAGACTGCTGAGGGATTGGGGAAAAATGGGGAATCCTCTAACAGGGTCTTCAGGTTGCACCAAGATCAGTGTAATTACAGCCTGGCCAACAAAACCAGACGAGCCATTCTTGCGTTGGGATTTTTTTTTATTTTATTTTCTTGGAAAAAACATTATTTGAACATTTTGCAGCTTCCATTTTTTTCCCCCAGCTCTGTATTTTTCCCCTTGACTTTTGTCTCTAATGACAAAAAGGCTCAACCAGACTGCAGCTTTGTTTGGCACTGAACTTCCCTCCTGAGATGATCACACAAGAAGTCTTTTATCACTTTGGGGGCTCCGAGCCAGAACTGCCTGTGGTGGAAGTGGCTGGGACTGTAACTCCAGGCTGTGGTGGGATGAGAGTCAAGCCCAGGCTGTCAGCAAGGTGGAGCCCCTGCCAGGACACGTCAGGACTTCTGAGCCCACCTCCCCTGCTGCTGCTCTCATGAAGGAAAAGGTATGAAGTCCACATCTAGATTGAATTAGTCCTTAAAAAAAATTAAGTGTTGTTTAAAATACAAATCCTGTCCAGAGTCATGGTCTAATTCCTTAGGAAATCACTATAAATCGAACCTCCCCTGCTCCCCACTGCTCAATAACAACATGTCACATCTCGGTTTTCTCACAGAGCTGATTCACCTTCTGTGCCACTTCACTGTGTTGGCTTCAGGGCTGTCAGCTCTGCTTCATGCCCGGGTTTGTGTGGAGGAAGGAGGGTCCTGCTGAAGTCCTGGACTTGTGCTCTCCTCAGGCATCAGCAGCTCCCGGAGCTGCCTGACACTGGCTCACGGCTTCTTCCCCACATCACTTCCCATCACCAGCAATTCCTTGAGGAGGGAGCAGTGACACTGAGGCCGAGAAACGCTGACAGCCACATTTCCCAGAGGGTAAGGAAGATTCCAGCTCAGTTTTGGGTTTGGGTTTGGTTGGTTTTTTTTCCTAACCATGTTTTGCTGAAGAAACAATTTCAGAGGGGGAAAAAGAAAAACCACATTATTGTGTAAGCAAGATGGAAAACAGCTTTGTGTGGGTTCCCAGGTATTTATGTGCCATTCCCTCTGCAAAAACATCGCTGCTTGGCTGTTCAGCACGATGGTTTTGCAACAGCTGTGTGCACAGCACCATCCATCACAGGCAGTGCCTGTTCCCTGGCTGTCCCCATGGCTTGGTTTATTTGTGTGCAAGGCAACTGAGGGGTTATTGAGGCTTTCCATCAGCTGTACAAACTCACAGCAGCACCAGCTCTCT